GGTAGCTAAACAAAGGTAGCTTCTTGAACTACGAGATCTCGTTGCCAACATTTCAGTCCCTTTATAGTCCCTTCATAACCAACGTTTGAACTTTCGCTTAAACGTAGTAACTTATTTCAATAGCGAGGTTAAGGTACCCCGGGTACGGGTTGCGTCATTTTGTTTCGAAATTTACTCTAGTGTTTTCATGTTTGGTCATAGATTTTTCTTCCAATAGACTATGGTGATTATGGTCTACTGCGAAAAAACATGTACAGCAATTATGACGAAACTGACAGACATCGATGCAAATTTGAAAACAAAATGACGCTACCCGTATACCCATACACCGGAACTGGGTTATCATCTTAACCTCTCTGATACATCAAAATCATCTTCCCATCCGCCTTCAGGGGCGGATCTAGGATTTTTCGTACCTCAGTCAAAATTTTTTGGTGGACGGGGCGTTATCGGCGCTGGGCGTGGTCTCGACTGGGCGTGGTCGACTCCAGACGGGGGGAGTGGGCGCTAAATAATTTTTATGTTGATAGTCCGCCACTGGATTTTAGAATTTTCCGTACAAAGGCATAATATGCGATTTGGTCCCCCCCCCCCCACACACACCTATTAACCTAAATCCTAATTAACCAAATTATAAAACATATTTAGATTAAATTGATAAACTCAAACGAACATTTGATTCTTATCCACAGGCACTGTAAGAACAACTACAAATGCACAAAGATATATTGATGATAATACTTTAAAACTCAGCAGCAATTTAACATGTTTGCCTGTGGATTAAGAATCGTCGTCATATTGGTACTATATGCTTATAAGTGTATCATTGTAAAACTTCTAAAATCATATGGCAGCAAATGCATTAAGGAAATATACTGTTCTGTTACCAAAAACACAGAACTATACATAAGAAGTAATTGCCAGTAGCCTGAGCTCCAAAAAAACAACCACATATTCATTAACTAAGTCAAAGATGTTAAGTCAAATATTAATAAACTAAACCCTTACTATTAATAAAGTCTTACTGTGGTCTATATATTGAACACAAAATATACTATTAATAAACTAGTAACATCAGAATGGCTACCAGTCAAAGAGCTTTTCAAGCTACCTACAATTAAATATTTCACATCATCATGTTACATCAGACCAATGCGGTCTATGTTCAAGCCATGTCGAAAGGCTATGGATAAACAATACACGTATACGCGTTACGCGTACATGTTGTGTGATTAATGCATAAATATAAAGAAATTTTAAATAAAATTTCACTAACATGAGAATCAACAAATGCTTACAATGTAGACATTGAATATTAACATATTTTAGCTTCTTGACGCGAGAATTATGCTAATACAGCAATACAGCATAGCGAATATATTAAAATATCATATGTCAGACAATCATTAACAACACCGATGGCTTGGTACTCCGGTTTATAAACCTTTAATATGAACTAAAGATACATCACTATAAAACCATAAATTTATCTACCTTATTGCAGTGCAAGCTTTGTCTTTCTCTAGCAGTAGCTCTCTGCGCCAAAATTTCTAGCGAGGCTTCTGCTTGTGTTGTTGATGGCGCCGCTCAGTAGCTTGTCAACAAAATTCGTCCGTGAGGCATCGATATTCTTTTCAAGCTCCGTATACAAACGTTGTATAGAGATTCCAAATTGTTTGCCGCAATCGCAAACTGAACATTGTCGAAAATGTTTCCAGATATCGCTGGTAGAAATCGCTCGTAATAGTAAACGTTCGAAATAGTAAACACTCAGAGGTAAACACTAATGCGGTCTTGACGAATACCTCACGTTGCGAATCCGTCGAAAATATAAGCCAATGATAGTGCAGAATTTTTTTAAATGGTTCAATCAGAAGGCTCATACAGAGCCCCTGAATCTGCAAATCCGTCAGGCCTCCCCACAGATCCGTCGCAAATGGCCGTAACCATGGAAATGAGCGTGTCAGCCAATCAGATAGCCGGATTTGACCCCCGAATCCGTCAACTTTCATGCGTAAGACCGCTGTTCGTGACTGACTAACATTACTTTGCCGAAGCTCTGCCGCAGCATGAAACGTATAACTGGACTACCGGTACGATTCAAAATTTTAGTAACTCGATCTACTGGCCACTATAGATAGCTGGAGTCAATTTTTTTTAAGTAGGCAATTTTTACTTCAGTCGCGCGACTGATTTGACGACCCCTAGATCCGCCCCTGTCCGCCTTCTATCCCGTCCCGGCAAACAGGGATCATATATATAAACAGTTCCTTAATAAAGTTGGTATCTGATAGATTAGGGGAAAAGCAGCAGTGGAAACCCAAGCACTAACTATCTTAACGATATAGAGATCAACTCAACAAGTGCGAAAATACAATACAACAGAACTTCCCAATAACAAATTTGTTGATGTTATATGTACAGATACTGGGATTTTTCCTGCATATTGAAGTCGTAAATGTTATATATCATAATCATTCTTGATTTGTCTTTGCCCTTAAAAAAATATCTGTACTTCTGTAGTAAACGATATAAATTCATAATTCATTAATGCATGCTTTGACAATTTCAATAAAATAGGCTAACACACCTATAATTATGCGTAGAAAGCATACAATGGATGATTTCAGCTATAGACTAAATTTTGATCTAGGCAAGAAGAACAAAATCCATCGCCACAGCTAGAAAGAGCATGTTAAAATTAGTAAAATTGCAAAGTTTGGCCGCGAAATGTTGAAAAATGAGGAAAATATAGCCCTGCGAAATTTGCAAATTTTGTATTAATTTGTATTGCGCGAAAATGCACCACATTTGGGCCGAAAGTGGTGCATTTTCCCGTGTGTATTATACAAATTAATTAATAGAAAATTTGCAAATTTCGCAGGGCTATATTTTCCTCATTTTTCAACATTTCGCGACCAAACTTTGCAATTTTACTACTTTTGACATGCTCTTTCTAGCGGTGCTGATGGATTTTGTTATTCTTGCCTAGATCAAAATTTAGTCTATATATAGCTGGAATTGCCTATTCATTCAAACAACGATAAAAACCATTAGAAAACTATTATTATACGTTCAACATGTAGTAGCATACTCTGCAGCTATACACAGAAGGCAAAATATGCTCAATATTACAAAAATGATTTAATAACAGTTCTGACTGAAACACAATTGATGAATGAACAGTTAAATACTTTGATATGCATGCATATTTCTATTTCTTCTAGCCTCAGCCCAGCTGGAAGTTATGATTAAATGATGCAGAACGTGTCATTTGAATCGACATCATGGAGTGGCCTGTATCGTTGTTTAGAAGAAGAACTGAACCACCTACTTGTCATTGTTAGGTCCTACTGTAACATTTGCAACAAGATTGTTTGGATTAGTGAAAACTGTTTCCATTTCACTGAACATTACAGCTGCGACTCCTGAACCGCCTATGACAAGTCCACTGACAAGACCTTTGTCATTGGGATACCACTGAAAATTAAGACATATTGTGAATTGGGAAAACAACAGAAACTTTGATAGTGTAATACGATGCAACCTTAATTAAATCAGGTATTCGTGCATAAATTATACAATCATGTTCTAATTACAAAATTTTAATCACTTCTTTACAGCCCAAGAAAGAAAGAAAGACAAATTTTTGTAAATTTCTCATCAATTTTCATCCCGTACGAAATAATTGCTGCAAAGGTCAGCGAGCCGCACACTATTCTTGACATGCTATATATAATTTCTCCACAGTTCACTTGACCCAATCTTTCATGCGAACTAAAGTTTCAACAATAATAACACCAACCTCCATTGCTCTGCCGAGAGAAGACGTATATCCAATACCAATTCCCAAACCAAATATCCAACCATAGCTCACTGATGTTGCTGTGAAAGAATGCTTTGCGGTGAAGTACGTCAGCACCAGTCCTAGACTGGACAATAAATATACAGCCACATAGTTACATAAGCCGGAAAAAATCAGAAACAGTTTGGTTACTTTCAACCTATAAATAAAAGTTCTGTTTGTGGAAACACCACGTAAATTTATTACTGCAAAACTTTCGATCCGTATTAAACCCGGATCTTCATCACATGTTTTATCACCATGCAAACATACAAAGAACTTATTTTCAACCTGTTGTACAGCATACAGTATGTTCAATTTGATATCGTGCAAGCGATAAACGGGCGTTTCAACGAAGAAGGAAACAAAATATGATTCCGGTTATACCTTAACGAATTGACTTACGGGCCGTACCGATGAGAACACCCGTGTAAATTATGGCACGAATTTGATGGGTCATGATCCTGTATATAATGTCCCCGTGTCCACAATTCTGGACATGATTAATTAACACATTCATACTATATGTCGTATAGATGGCACGATCCGTACTGAGTTCTCGATATCATATAAATAGAGCAGAAATAATCGTCTTACGTCCAAAGGTTGCCACAACAGTCGTGGCTATATGTGTATATATTGAAGGTCGCGGGTTCAAGACCTAGCCGCGGCAAGCAATAGAGAGGTTAAGATACCTTTCGGGGTACGGGTACGAGTAGTGTCATCTTGTTTTACTGATGTCTGTAATTCAATCATACTTTTTCTGTTTTCTTGCAATAGACAATGTTATAATGCGAAAAATGTGCACCTTGATTACGAGTAAAGGTACAGACATCGACGAAAATATTGCTAACCAAAATCATGCTACCCGTACCCGTACACCGAAACCGGGGTATCTTAACCTCTCTAATATCTTTCTGCTTGTGAAATATGAAATACACACTCGAGAACATTTTTAACTTATCATATTTACGGAGTGAATATTATTGCTGAAATATTGCAGAAAAACAACAACATTCCCAGCGGGAAAAATGACGTTTATCCAATGTTGAATCAACGTTGGAAATGACCCTCCAGACGTTGGATAGACGTTGAAAAAGGGTTGACTATGCAAAACCATCATAAACACCATCAAGTGGGTGATAAACACCATCAGGCGGATGCTTTTGCACAAATCTTAGAGAGAATATTAACTATTGAGGAGAAGCTCAACACAAAAATTGATGACGTGGCGCTGCAGGTATGCAACTTAAAGGAGGCTGATGACCTTCATGAAAAGATATCACATGACTATATTACTAATATAAAACATGAGAATAAATATCTCAAGAAAGAAAATACTGCCCTTAAAGGAAAAATTGAGTATACCACTATGGTAATGTCAGATCTCAATACTAAACTTAAATTGTTAGATGAGGAAAAGCAAAGTCTAGTAACTGCACTTAAAATCTTACAAGGAAAAGAAATTGTGATGAACGACTGGTGTAACAATGAAATTGGTGCCTTCATCAATGCTGATGATAAATTAAAACAAAACTCTGGCATGGCAAAACCAAAAGGTTCAAAACGACAGTTTGGAAACATACTTGAATGCAAGAATGCGTTTGAAATACTTACAGTAGAGGATGATAGCGAACATACTGATAATGACAAACAAGAAACTGTCGGGGAAGGTTTGAGTACCGGTACTCAAGTAGCTGAGGAGGATGTCTTTGTTGAATGTAATGTAATGTGATCAATGAACAAGAGCCTAACCGGAAAGACTCGGGTACACAGATGATAGAAGGTAAGCCAGAGTTACCACCAAATAACCATAATGATCCCCAAAACAACATGAACTTAGATCGAGAAAGCCAAATTGTTATTGTTGGGGACTCAATGATCAAACATATAATACCGAAAAAAATATCGAGTAGGAATGTTACGAAAATAACCTTTCCGGGCAAAACAGCTGGTGAAATATCTAACCAATTAGACCAAATCAAGTTAAAATCAACACCGTCCCACATTATAATTCACGCTGGAACAAACAATCTGCCTGTTGACACAGCAGAAACCTGTGCTGAAAAAGTTGGGCAATTAGTTTTTAAATTAAAAACTAAATTTCCAACATCAAGAATTGGAATATCAAACATTGTTACCCGGGAAGACTGTGACCTAACAGACAAAATAAGGAAAACAAATTCACTAATTGCCCAAACGTGTTTAAATCAAGATTATGGTTTTATAAACAATGAGAACATTGATAGGATTGCCTTAAACGGTAGCAAGATCCACCTAAACGCTAAAGGGTCTGCCTATTTAGCTGTCAATTTCATTAAATTTATTCGAGAAGGCAATAAAACGACCACCCAAACAAGAACAATGCAAGGAAACAGTAGGTTTGGTCAGGATTTTCAGACAAGCCAACTATTACAACTGGGGAACTTTTTAACATCTATAGCCCTATCAGCCCCCCAACACCCGAGTCGCAGCATGATGAAGATGTAACCTGCCAATTCAAACGGATGGGAAAACTAAAAGGTCTGAAACTTGGTAGTCTAAATATCAATAGTCTATTAAAAAATATGGAACATGAATTTTCCTCTGTGTTGGTGTTGTGTACTCAGGTGAATAATATGTTTGCGATGTTACTCTGAGTGCATATCCACACCGGGCGAGCTTGAAAAATATGCCCGGCCACGGTGGGATTCGAACCTACGACCTTTGGAATACTAACCCAATGCTCTTCCAACTGAGCTACGCGGTCAGGACGGTTCGAGTAAGTGATATTTCGGAACAGTATCTAATTCCTTCAATACCAATGTGTTCTATTAATATGAATTTTTTGTGCTGGTGTTGTGTACTCAGGTGAATAATATGTTTGCGATGTTACTCTGAGTGCATATCCACACCGGGCGAGCTTGAAAAATATGCCCGGCCACGGTAGGATTCGAACCTACGACCTTTGGAATACTGGCCCAATGCTCTTCCAACTGAGCTACGCGGTCAGGACGGTTCGAGTAA